AGTCCTGCTTGCAGCAGATTCAGATGCACCTCACAGACATGAATCTGTCGCAAGTTCCGCCATTTCTCATACTACCGCAAGACGAAAGAATATCTACGACCCTCTTTATGAATCCCGGGAATTGTTACTTCACCTCACATTACAGTGTAATAAGTATTAACGATTCGCTGTACAAACTCCAGCATTTCCAGCAGAATGGGAAAGCTTACACTCTATAGTATTGCCGTGTAGAAAAATACAAACAGGAAAAGGATACATTTGTAAAATCCTGCAAAGAACAGCTACTATCTTCCTCGTAATGTCATAGACACATTTATGAGAAGCTGCAGTAAACTACATATCCCATCATGCACTGAGTTCCTGCCTTGGCCACTTAGTCTCTTATCAGAATCTGCAGTGTCGACAGCAGGAAGCAGTTAGTCACAGGGGTTAATGTGTTTAACATGTTGCTGGGTCAGTTTGTTTTAGCATGTCTGGTAGCGTGTTTTCCACAGTTTAGGTGTACACGAATGTTGTACAAGTGTACCAACAGCGTGTGGCACTGAAGGGACAACTATGGGACATGAGAAGTTGGTTCGAATCGCCAGATGCCAACTGCTGGTCAGCTGCCTCTTCATCCTGGTAATGACATCATTTCTGTTATTTCATAACACGCCTCAACTTACAGGAATGTTTCCCAATCTTCACCTGTGACCTGTGTTATTTTATATCTTAGACCTGTCATACAAATGATCTGTCCTGTCATGTGTACCTTCTGATTCCTTCAAAAGACACAACTGTGCTGTAGGCAATGCACAAAGAAGAATGTGATATATGACATATGAAGTGATGCATAATATTCGATGTGATATATGATATAATATATATTATATCAAGTGATATATGATGTATAATATATGTGATATATAATATGATATATACTATATGATGTGATATATGAAGTGATACATGATGTATGATGTGATATATGTGATATATAATATGATATATACTATATGATGTGATATGTGACATATGAAGTGATATATGATGTATGATATGATATATGTGATATATAATATGATATATACTATATGATGTGATATGTGACATATGAAGTGATATACAGGTGAAACTCGAATAATTAGAATATCGTGCAAAAGTAATTGCAGTAAGTGCTGCAAAAGGGGCCCAAATCAAGTACTGAGTACATATGCATGCTTGTACTTTTCAGAGGTCCGATATTGTTCTATGTACAATCCTTGTTTTATTGATTGCATGTAATAATCTACTTTTTTGAGGTTGTGGATTTGGGGTTCTTGGGGTTTTCATGAGCTGTAAGCCATAATCATCACAATTATGACAAATCACGGCTTTAACTATCTTGATTTGCATGTAATGAGTCTATCTCATATATTAGTTTCACCTTTTAAGTTGCATTAGTGAAATAAATGAACTTTGCACGATATTCTAATTATTCGAGTTTCACCTGTATGATATATGATGTATGATTTGATATATAGGGGTTAATCACAAAGCTGCCAAATGCAGCCGAGTGAATAAATGAGCCATAGTGAAGTGAGCCGAACGCTGTTCAGCTATTTACTACGGCTCAGTACGGCTTATTTCAGCCGTACATCGGCAACCTTCGACTGCACTTCGGTCAGTCGAACATGTTTGGCTGAGCCGAAGTGCAGAAGGACTTCGACTCCGCTGATCCAACATCTGGATTGGCTGAGCTGAAGCTCCGGCAGCTCACTTGCTGCCATTCGCCCCTATTCACATAGGGGCAGAACGGCAGTGAGTGAATAGCCGAATGCCACCAAGCGGCATTTGGGTCATCTATTCTGCTCGGTACCTCCTCAAATCAATGAAAATAGGTTGAAAAAATAATTTTAAAATGTTAATAAATTGAAAAATAAAAAAAGAAATAAAGATTTTAAAAAAAAACAATTGGGCGGAGTTGGCAGTGACAGCTAGCTCCGCCCAACTGTTTCCTATTGGCCGGCACCTGCTAGTCTTCTAGCAGGTCCGGGCTAATGAATAACTGGGCGGAACTGTTTAGACCCCATTCACACTGAGCGACATGGAAATCGCGCGACATTGAGCGACATCTTCCTATTGGGCTGTATGCAATCAGGAGCAATATCGCTCAAAATCGCTCTAAAAAAGGGTCATGTAGAAGCGACAAGCTACCGGCGACGAGCTACAAGCGATATTGAGCGATATTGAGCGACGAGATGTGAACAGCTACATTGAAATGTATTGGTGAAGCTACATAGAGCGATATAGCGCGGAAATATGAGCGATATCGCTGCCAAAATCGCGCGATAAATCGCTCAATGTGAACGGGGCCTAAATAACAGTTCAGTGTCCCCAGAATGCTGATCTGCCATTACAACTGGGCGGAGACAGCCGTTAGATCACGGCTGGCTTCGCCCAGCTGTCATCTGCAGAGCCGCTCGGCCACCTATAGTGAATAGCCCGTACAGCAGCCCCTAAATTCGACCGAACCGAAGGGCTCCCGCAACCGAAGCGATCTGAAGGATCAGCCGAAGTTACGGCTGGATCCTTCGGCAGCTTTGTGAATAGACCCCATAATGTATGATGTGATATATGATGTATGAAGTGACATGACATATGAAGTGATATATGGTATACAACGTGATATACAATATATGATGTGAAATAGGATATTTGAATTGATATATGATGTGATATGTGCACCTTGCGGCTAGTTATCTGAAATGCACTGCAAGATATTTCTGCTATAGCCAGGGGCAGGGCCCTCCTTATCATTTTGTCTTGACTTGTATTGTGATTATAATGTCTTCCTTATATTGTAAAGTGCTGCGCAAACTGTTGGCCATATATAAATCCTGTATAATAATAATAGCCGCAATAATGTTTTAGACCAATCTAA